GGAGGCGGCGGGCTCCAGCAGCTGGCATTCTTCGGGGGCAGCCTCAGCTGGCACCTCAGGGGGCACCAGGCAGTGGCCAGAGCAGGGCGTCTCCAGGTGCCCGAAGCTGAGGCTGTCCCGCTGTGGGCTGCCGGCTTAGTCGCTCTTCTCAACAGCATCCCACCTGGGGGCGCCAGAGGGCACATATATCTCTGTACTCATGTCTGCCACAAGAGGGCAGCCTCAGCCCACTGATTTCTGCTCCCCGTCCCGCCAGCCCCAAAGGTCCAAACCAGGCTGGGTGAGAGAGAAACGCGGTCCAATGCTGAGCAAGAGAGAAGGTCGATCCAGTACATGCAAGCGATCTTCCACTCGCCCAACCTGAATGTATTAAAAGCAGCAGTAAGGAGGGAGAGCTCTGGAGTTAGATTGAGTTTGAACTCAAGCTCTGGGCAAAAAGTTCTGAGCTTCATTTGACTCATCTGTAAAAATGGAATGCTACTAATGAGGATTAAATGAAGTAATACATATAAAGGGCCTAGTCTGGTGCTCAGCACAGTGTAAATGCACCTGCTGTCAATTTTTATGACATGTATTCATCTGTTCATTCATTCCTCAATTCATCCCCTCTACAGTGTGTAGTGCCTACCATTTTCTGGGCACTATGGCAGGCAGGTGATGATGCAAAGACAGATGGTGAGAAGGACACGTCTCAAATAGTGTGCTAAGACATGATACACCCAGCGAGGGCGGAGGGGAGGTTGATTTGCATGGGGCAATGTTTTGGGGTGATGAAAATATTCTTTATCTGTATTATGGTAGTAGTTATATGTTACAACATTTTCAAAAACTCATTGAAATGTGTATTTGAAATTGGTACATTTTATTATATGTAAACTCTAACTCAATAAAGTTATTTTCTTTTAAAAGCACACGATGTGAATTAATTGAATGGATAAACGGTTGGATGGTGGATGAATGAATGAATGTGTGAATGAATGTCTCAGATAATGGCCCGCCTGTCCTGGTGCCACCGTTGTCCCTACTGAGAGTGCCCTTGCCCTCTCCTCTTGGTGTCCACGGTCTTCCCCAGAAGTGGACCTTGGAATTGTCCCCCTACCCCTCACCCCGTCCTCCCACCCCCATCAGTGGCAGGAAAAGATGCCCTAGCTAGTGCTCCCAGGCTTATCTAAGGTTGATTTCCGGGATTTCCTGGGGCTTCCCTTCCAGCTGCCACATGCCAGTCCGGCCAGCTCGGTTCAGCTCAGTGGTGCCAAGGTCATGGGTGTGATGCCTAACTACAAACCCACAGTGCCAGCAGTACAGCCGCCCAAATCTTGGTGGACTGTGCCACCAGCTGGCCCTCTTCGGAACTGCAACCCTAGAGTTCCAAGAGAGCTGGAATCTTTCTTGAGGACCTAGCAGGGGCTCTGTCCTGGGCTGGGGCTTTATTGAGTGTGTGTGTGTGTGTGTGTGTGTGTGTGTGTGTGTGTGTGTGCGCGCGCGCGCGCAGTTGAGCCAGTTCTGACTTCTGGTGACCTTATGAATGCATGTTGTCCACAATGTCCTGTCTAAGGTCACACTGTAGATTGTAGACCTAAGTTTCTTCCTCAGGTCTGCCCAACTCCCCAGTCTATGTTCTGTCCATGAGACTGTATCTTGTTTGGAAGAAGGAAGGGACTATTCATGATTGTCCACTCTCCCCACCTCCCAGAAAGAGGGCAAAGGCCTCACACCAACCCTCCCAAATTCAAGTTCCAGAGATAATGAATGTTGTTCCTCCTGTATGCTGGGCACAGTGGCAACACCAGACCAATGATGTGAGGAAGAATTGTGTATTCAAAATAGTATGCTCAGACCTATGGTGCCTTAATAGACAAATAGACACTCTGTGATAAACGTTTTTCAGTCCAAGCAGAAAGACCCACAGTTCAAGTGGAGTTATGTCACACAAGGTCTTGAATTGGTTCCTTGGACCCAACAGCCTGTGTTTCTAACTCAAAATAATACCTGAAGAGTGGCATATTATTTTTACATCTCATTTGCATGTGATTAATTCTAAGTCAAAGAGAATGGAGGTCACCCTGGCCCCTTGCTTCTCAGCCCCTCCAGGATGTACCTGACCCTGGCTGCCTCCCCCAGCCCTTGCTGGGCTCCCCCATCCTCATCAGCCCCTCCCCACTCCTTGCCCCTGCCCACACTTTCCTCAGTTCCCAGAAGTCCTGTTCCCTTCCTCCTCTGTCACCCACGCAGCCCCCACAGCCTGGCCGCCCACCTGAAAAACTTTTCCCCAAGTTCTTGAGAAGTCGCGTAGGATACAGGAGAGAAATATCAAAGTAATAAAACCTCATTTAATTCCTAACGGAGGGCAGAGCTGTGAGCTGCAATTATCTTAATGCTGAGCTATTTTTACTCTCTCTCCATCTCTGTCTCCTGCCTCTCTCCGTTATGATGCTTTCTCTTTCTCCCTGTCTCTCCAACTCTCACATGCGTTTTCTCTGTCTCTTGTGGCTTTTTCCTACCTCCCCCCGCGCCCCGCTTTCTCTCTCTCACCTCTTGTCTCTGTCATCTTTCCTTCTCCTGTCCATCTGTCCCTTGTATTTGTACCTCTGTCAGCCAGTCTTGCCCATCCCTCTTGACCCTGCAGTTTAGCAGCCAAGCTGTGGGTGCCAAAAAAGCTGGAGGAAGAGGATAAAGACCCTCCCCTCCATCCCCAAACATTCCATCTTCCAGGCCTAACTGGGTCAGGGACATTTTTCCTGATTCAGGCCCTCTGAGAGCTCTAATCCTTTTGGCAGAACCTCTATAAACAAGTCCTCTCCGGTCAAATGAGCCTCAGCCACTGTGGTCCCCAGGGCCTCCTCAGCTCTGATGGGCTCCAAGGTGCAACTGGTGGTGATGCCTCCTTGTCCCTGTCCTCTCATTACCCATCCAGCTGTCCTCTGTCCCCTTCTTCCCACCCCAGGGCCTTCCCGCCCTCCAACAATGGAAGGCACAAGCCCCTCACCCTCACTGTGGCCCAGTGGCCACTCGGGTTACTGCCTGGGCTGTGCCTTTCCCATGCCTCTCCTGAGTTTCAGAACCTCCTTATTTACCCTCCCAAGGCACTGCCAAACTGGTCTTTGCCAGCCCCCACCACACCCCATCTGGAAGAGGGGTCTGGGCCAAGCCCGGGGCTGCCAGAGATGCCCACACCCCTTGGCCAGCATTGTGGTATCCGGCTGTTTCCCAACAAGCATATAAGTCAACGAATGCAGTGGGACTTGAGCCAGGCTTGAGGTTGGGGGCGGTGGAGCCGAGCAGCCAGGGCTTCCAGCTTCCAAGAGCAAAGCTCTGCCCTCCTGCCATCCTCTCTCTCACCCCCAAAGTGGACAATGACTCTGGGGTACAACATCGTGCCCCTGACCCCATTTCCACAAGACTCCTCTGACCTCCTGTTCCCTCCTTGCTCTGCCAGGGACCCAACATACTTGGGTTGGGAGTGGAAAAGTTGCTGAGGTAGGGGGAGGACTCCTGACTAACCCAGGCCTGAGCGTGACCAGGAGAGAACACAGCCAACACAAACAGAGCCCCAGGAAGACACACGCATGTGTACACGTCTACACACGCACCCTGTCAGCGCTACAGAGAGGCATTCAGACCCTTGCCCGCAGGTCCACAGAGTGAAACACGGCTCCTGCAAAGATACCCAGGCCCTGGACCGGTAAACAAGGACACTCCAACCCACAGGCCAGCACCTCCCCTTCCCTCATCCAGGGACACACACTAACACCTCTGCAGAGAGACAGGCTCACACCTCAGAAATGAGTGCACAACTCTCTCCTCAGCTCCGTTCTCGAATGCACCAAACACACGTGATGGCACGTGTACTGGTACAGGCAGCCCCCAACACTCCAAACTCTGTCCCCCTGAGGTGCTTCTGTCTCCTTCCCATCAGATATGGGGAGAAAAGGCAGGAGACACGTGAATCCAGGGTATATTGTGGCAGGGACACAGCCCCCCCACACACACCCAAGTGCTCACAGGATCGCAACCTCATGCCCCTCTATTACACAGGCTACAGCTGCGGATACAGTACCCTCACCCTGCTGTAAGCTGGCACACTCCTGCCATCACCTTGACAGCCTCTGACAACCTCCCCCACACCCACACCCTCCCCCACACACACATAGTCCTCCCACACCCTGCCACTCACACTGCATCCTTGACACTCTGACACACTTACTCACAGACTCACACGCACTCACACCACATTGCCCCCACACACACACTTTCTAGCTATAGGCACCACAGAGCCCCTGGCACTCACTCACATACACTCCCTGCCATGATGACTGACACGTGTCCTCCCACACGCAATCCTCTCTTTCGCACTCACTCACTTTCTAGGACACCCCCATTCACAGCTCGACATGCTGGTGGCACTCTCTTCACCTCACAGGCCTCCTGGTGAAAGTCCAAGTACCCAGGCCGTGAAGGGGTTAAAGCCAGAGTCCCGGTTTCCCTCTGCCCCTCTCTCCCCCACCTTCTGCCTCCCCCCACATTATCTTCCCTGCTGGACTCCATCAATAATTCAGCTTCAAGTTCTGGGGATACAGCAGGGGGCCCCCAGCCTGCTTCACCCCGCCCTGGCTCACACTCCCACCCTCCCCCGACCCGGGAGAACACTCTTCTCCGTGCTCATTGGCCACTTTCTCCTGAGCCCTCCCATTAAGCCCCGGGCGCCAGTCCCAGGAGAGGGGACGGACTGGGGACCCCAAGGCTGGGGCCAGAGGGGTGAGACCGGGAGAGAGAGAGAGAGAGGCAGAGGCAGAGAGAGACACGGAGAGAAAGAGAGGGAGATAGGGGAAGGGCGGAGAGACAGAGGAGAGACACTTAAAGACACTCAGAGAGAGCAAGGGAAGGAGGGGAGAGGCAGAGACACGGAGACCAGCGAGCAGGAGAGCGCGCGGGTGGAGGCGCGAGGGGATCGACGCGGATCGCGCGAGCTCGGCGGGCGGGCCCGCGGGCAGGAGGGGCAGGCGGGGCGGGCGGGCCGGCGGCGGCCCCTCCTCCCGCGCTCTCCCCTCACCGCGCTCGGTATTTTTATCCGTGCGCACACAGCCCTCCTCCTCCTCGCCACTTACAGCCAGTCGGCTGTCGCCTCGGCGCCCCGAGCTGCACAGGCGAGCCCAGCCGGGAGCGTCGCCCCGCACCCGGAGTCAAGCGCCCCCAGCCCCACCGGCCACCACGCCCGCCATGGACCCCAAGGACCGCAAGAAAATCCAGTTCTCCGTGCCCGCGCCCCCCAGCCAGCTGGACCCCCGCCAGGTGGAGATGGTAAGGGAGCCGCGCCACACCCCCAGCAGCGCCCCCACGCACCTAGGGGCTCCCTTGCTTCCCGGGCGCTGCCGGGTCTGCGCTGGCCTGGGGAAGGGGGGTGACGGAGAGTCCCGGGCCGCCTTGGACCAGGCGAGGCCTCCGGGCAGCGCGTGAAGTTCACTGGAGACTCGTGCAACTTTTTCCCCGGGGCCTCGGTCCTGATTCCCGCGCCGGAGAATTCCCGGCGTTGAGCGTCTGAGCGTTTGGGCAGGCCTTTCTGGGCTGCCCGCCCCAGGAGGGGTGACTGTCCTCTGGACCCTTGCACAGTGTCCTCCTGCTCTAGGCTACCACCGGGACCTCTGCACCCCAGTCCCAGCCAGCGCTGGTCAAATGTGAGAAACCTCCTCCCCTGACCCATTATATGGAGCAGACCCCCAAAACTGCTGCCCCACAGCCCTGCCCCTCTAGTCCCACCCTGTATGTCTGGGCTGGGGTTGCCAAAACCTTGTTCTGACCTCTTTCTGCTGTCAGGTCCTAGAAAGAGCTAGACATGGTGGGGGCAAGGGGTGACCCATCATCACAGAAGCCAGACCTCTTCACATTGACAACGGAGATCTCCAGAGAGCCTTCCTGGGGGCTGGGAGGCCTCCAAAGGCGGGGAGCAGGAGGAGGAAGGAGAGAACAGAAGATGGCTCCCCCTACCTAGCTGGGGTCACTTGTTGCTGAGTCCCAGTGGGCTCCCAACAGAGCAGTGGGAGTGGGGCCGAGTCATTTTGGCAGGGCAGGTTGGGTCCTAGGCCTAAGCAGCTTTTGGTCTGGAGGGCAGTGTTGGAATTCTGGCGGGAGGAGGTGGCAGTTTCAGCTTAATTCACCTGGTTCTCTTTGTGCATTTCCCTGGAGCTCAGAGGGGACCTAATTAACTGACAGTTGGTCTGATTGCCAAGCTAGGGGTGGGGGCAGTTACCGGGAGTGCTCTGTGCCCCCTCCACCCCATACACTCACCGTTCAGCTTGGCTTATGTACCAAGGAGGGCGACTTTTTGTTTTTTATGAAGACTGTGCCAAGAGTTCCACAGCCTGAGAGAGACTGCTGGACTCCTAGACTCCCAGACCCAGGCCCCCAGAGATATCCCCCAGACTCCGTGGTCTGTGACTCAGACCCACACCTGAGCCTCAGTGTGAGTTTGGAGGTGCCTGCAGTGCCCCGCCTCAGCCTCCCTCTGCAGCTGGATCTAGTTTCTTTGGAGCCCTTGAGCTGACCTTAGGTAGGCAGGGCCACGTGAGTGCCATGGCCCATGGGGCATCTTCCACAGCCAGCTTCAGTTCCCAAGGTCTGATGTCTTCAAAAAATGGGAAAGAGCGGGCCTTGATCGGGGAGGATAGAAAGGGAGGTGCTTATTATGGAGTAACTGCGGAGTGGAATGCTCAAGGGCTGGGAGTCAGTGACCGTTTTTTTCTCATCATTCCTTTGCCTTAATATGCTGTGTGGCCTTGAGCACTTTGCCTGAACTCTCAGAGCCTTGAGTTTCTACCTGAGTAAAACGAGGGGGTTGGGTGAACTATAGAGTTCTTTTCAGCTCTGACAGTCTTTGATTCAGAAGTTCCCTGGGGACTCCAAAGCACTGTTTGTTCCATGCTGGTGGGGGGCAGTGGGGGTGGGCTGCAGATGTCTGTCCTACCCCACATCTTTCTCCATCTCCTTAGATCCGGCGCAGGAGACCAACCCCTGCCATGCTGTTTCGGCTCTCAGAGCATTCCTCACCAGGTGGGCCCCTTCCCTGCCCCTGCCCAGCCCTGGCCCTACCCTAGCTCTGATGCCTTCTTAGGGCCCTTGCCAAAGCCCCATGAGTAGTAGGAAATGGAGCAGAAGTGGGGTGGGGGGCGGGTAAGGTCTGGGAGCCCAACCCTGCTGGGTTCATTTATTCCTAGGCACCTCCCAGCACTAGGAAGTTAACAGCATACTTTCCCTTTCCCCAGAGATTGACCCTTTGGGGAAAGTAATTTGGATTCTCTTTCTCTCTCCCTTCCCTGCTCTTCTCTCTTCCTCATCCCTCCTTCACCGGTGGCCTCCCTCAGAGGAGGAGGCTTCCCCCCACCAGGTGAGTTTCCAGGGGCAGCAGGAAGGAGGCCTTTGGTGAGATGGTTGGGATTGCTTCCCAACCAACACAGGATGCCAGGGAGGACACATTAGCATAACATTCAGCACCTCTGGTGAGAGTGCCTGGTGCCAGGATGCCACCAGCAGAGCCTCCTCTGCCCTTTGCATAGATTGGGGTGAGGCCTCCAGAACCTAGGTCCCGCCTTGAGCCAGGCCACAGCTTATGGAGGCCCTCCCAAAGCAGTGGGGTGGCCTCAGCCTGGTGAAGGACCTGAGGGGCAGCAGTGCCTAGACCCATCGACAGAGGCTAGACCAGTCTGCCCAGGTTGCTATGGGTGGAATGGAGTGGAGGGAGGTGGCAGGGAAGGGGCCTGCGGTGAGCCCGTTTAACCTGGCACTTTACCCAGCAGAGAGCCTCAGGAGAGGGGCACCACCTCAAGTCGAAGAGACCCAACCCCTGTGCCTACACCCCCCCTTCGCTGAAAGGTACTATCCCCCCACCCATCAGTCTGGCTGTCCCCATGACCCCTGGAACTGACTTGACACTGGGGGAGGGAGGTGAAGTTTTGAGCTTTTGTCAGTGGGCGGGGGCGGGGGGCAGAGGGAGTTGTCTTGTGTCCCCCAAGCTCTGCTTAGAGACCAATTCAGTCTTAATTTTGCCTTGTAAAAAAGAAGAGGCTGGGAAGGGTGGCTGTGGGCTTGAAAGAAAGAAGGAGGCAGGCCTCAAATAATAAGTAGGCACCAACATAGAGACACTCAGCTCTGTGCCTCCCTTTTGCAAGTGCACACTGGCCACCTCCCGCTCCTCACTCCCCAAAGGGCACCTTCTTCTCTGGGCTGCACTCCTTGCTCCCCTCACCCATCCACCTAACATTTGCACAGGTCTGCATACTGGGTACTTCTCCCTGCTTTTCCTTTCTGTATTAAGAGGCAGATCATTTCTATAGCACGCACTTATTCAACACCTCGTGTGTGTCAGGCCTCGCTGGTGGGCACTGGGCAAAAGAAGGGGAGTCAGATTTGGTCCTTGCTCTAGTGACAGTTTGCTTCAAAGGGTCAGGGAGACCCTTACAGAATAGAGGGTGTTTAAGCCTGGATTTGAAGGATAAATAGGAATTCAACTGGTAGGCAAGGCCCAGAAGGGCATTCTAGGAAGAAGGAAGGTGTGGAAAAGGAGAGGAGGTGTAAAATCACAGGGGTCTTTAGGGCCATCCTGGAGACTGGGCTTGAAGTGGGGAGCTGTGCAAGATACACCTGGAGAAGAAGGTGGGACAGATTGGGGTGTGGGGTGGGTCTCTTCCTTACTAAGCCATAGGATGCCTTCCACATCTGGACTCCTACCTGAGGCTCTTCCTGCCTGGCCAGCCCCCTCCTCCCACAGAGAGAGGGAGGGAGACCGGAAGGGTGTGTTGACAGCTCCCTCCAGGTGGGTTTAATGACTTCCCAGCACCAGCCAAGGTCCACAGGTGCACCTGTCAGCCTGCCTACCAGGGTTGAGAGCAGAGAGGAGAGCCTGGGAGAAGAGGAGAGAAAGGGCAGGGGCCCTTTATCTTCTCCCAGGACAGGAAAATGAAGGGACAGCAAGCAGGCAGTGTGGTTCAGCACCTGGAAGGACTTCCCACCTGTGGGGATGTGGGGACGGCCAACCCCTGAAGCAGGCGTGGGCGGAAGGGCATCTTCTCAGGAGAGAATATAAGAAATCTCTCCTTCCCACCCTGGGCTGGGGGTTGGTGAGTGGATGTGATGAACCATCCTTGGGCTCTTGAGTGTGAGCATGGGGCTGAGGGCTGGGTGAAGAGGATAGGGCCAAGGCTTTCCAGGCCCCCCCGTAATGGCCAGAAAGGTGCCCACCCCCATTGCCCTTTTGGACTGCACTTTAGGAGAGTCTAAGTGGGGAGAAGCAGGGCAGTGGAAATGGGCCAGGAAAGGGGTGGGCAGTGGGAGTGAGGGGGTGGGAATTGTGCTGGGGACTTTTGAACTTAAAAAAGGGGACTGAGGGGACGTGTTCAGGGCCCTGGAGATGGAGACAGAGAAAGAAGGGGGAGGGGGAGACCCCAGAGAGCCCTGAGAGGCACGAGGCACTGCACACGCGGGAGGCTCACGGGGTGCCAGCACAGGCGGCTGCACACACCTATTGTTGTCACTGAGGCTCACGAACTGAGCTCTCCTCCCCCAGCTGGGGAAGAGGGCGGCTGCTGGAGCTGCCACCTCCTCTCCTCTCTTCCCCCCTCCCTCCAACCCTCAGAGGACCATTCTGTACCTGGAGGGCACTGTTTTATAGGCTTCAGCTCCTTTCTGGGTAAGGAAATGCACCTGGCAGGGTCAGGGTTCTCTAGAGGGAGAAACCAAGGGCCCCTGGAGGAGGGTGGTCAACACTGAGTCTTGGCTTGAGGCGGGGTCTCTCCAAGGCTGAGCTCTCACACTTGGCTCAAGGTGAAGCTTCACTGCATCGCCAAGCGTCACCAAGGCAAGGGTAGGGCGATTTATTGCACTTTTATTGCCTGGGTAGCTTGCCCAGAGCCAGCAGGAGGCACTGAGCTGGGAGCTCAGGGCAAGGCGGGGCAGCGGGCACACACAATACACCCTCTGTGCCTGTCCCCAAGTTGGCAGGAGTGTAGTGCCCTGCTCACTACACCGGAGGTTTCCAGCCTGGATCTACCCCTCTGGGCTTTCTGAGGGGAGGGGCTGCCTGCGGACCAAGGAGCAGCTTCGGCAACCCTAGCCCCTAGCTTACCAGCATCTCATCTGTGGGCTGTGAGTTTAGTGACCGAATACTCTAAAATTCCATTAACTCCTGGCCCTGCTGCTGCCCCAGCCACTCCTCACAGTGTCCCCTCTACCTCTGCCATTCTCCCAGAATCCCCCAGCCCTGTCCCTTTCTCCGAAAGGCCTGGTCCTTTCCATCTTTTGGAAACTTCTCTCCAGCTGCCTGCATGGTTCCCTTCCTAGGACCTATCCCAGCAGGCCTTGGTGGTGTTGGGCGGTGGGGGTGTTTGCTGCTTTCTAGGTCACCACAGAGGGAGCTGGAAGCTTGGGGATATGGGTCAAGATTGTGGGGGCCTGTGTCTGCGCACACCACATCCCTAGGCACGGACTTTATTGGCTGCAGACTATTATGTCCTCAGTCTCAGAATTGTTCCTACCTCTTAAAGCCTAGGCAGAGGTATGTGGAGTGGCATCTATGACCTGGCAGTGCCAGGAGGTGGGCAGGATTGTGGTGAGCAGTGCGCCCTGAGCCGGCTGGGCACTCCTCCAGACAAATCCCCCTGGGCTGTAACTGGTGGACACTATGTCCAGTACTAACCAGGTCTTTGGAGAAGTAAGCTCCCCAGCCAGGGAATGTTAAGCTGCTGTTGTGCCTGCCTAGTCTTGTCCAGCTTGATACCTTGTGGCCTGGTTCCAGCCTCTGGGGGGCCAGCATCTTTGGACAGCTTAAGAGCCAAATATGATCAAGAGTCTACCCCCTGCTGCTTTGGCTTGGTCTGGCCCCCAGCAGGCTGACCTGAAGACTTCACTTTTGAACTAGATCGGCGAGGAGGTTAGCTCTGCCCCCCAGGCCCATGGAAGGAGGCTGGGGGCTGGGCCACATGCCTCTCCAGCTCTGGGGGCTGTTTCTTGGGCTTGGCTGACCCTGCCTTCCCGGTGCCCCTGTGCCAGCCGTGCAGCGCATCGCCGAGTCTCACCTGCAGTCCATCAGCAACCTGAGCGAGAACCAGGCCTCAGAGGAGGAGGATGAGCTGGGGGAGTTGCGGGAGCTGGGCTACCCGAGAGAAGAAGAGGAAGAAGATGACGAGGATGAGGAGGAGGAGGAGGAGGACAGCCAGGCTGAAGTCCTGAAGGGCTACAGGGGGCCTGGTGAGCTGAAGGGGCTGCGCAGCCTAGGTCCTTCCGCCATGGGTCAGGTGGGATCCTCGAGTTCTTGGGGACACCTCTCCCAGGTCACAGTCACAAGCATTCCCATCCTCTTCGCCCACAGATCCCTCACACTCAGCCTTATCTGACACCTGGGCCACTCCCCTCCTTGACTCAGTCCCTCTTCCAATTAGGTTTTTCCTAATAATTAATTCCTCTCTTTCCCAAGAATTAAGGCAAGGCCACATGAGGATTGAAGCTGGACCCAAGAACTTCTCATCCATGGTGGTGAATGGGTGCAAGGAGATGAAGGAATGGGGGGTGAAGGATATCCAATGCCCCTATGGTTTGCATTACTGAATGTAGGATGTGGTCTCCACTGGGAAGCAGAGGACTGGCTGATAAATCCTCTTCAGGCCCCAGCAGGCTGTTTCTCCTCTTTTATTTCCTAGGCTAGGGTAAAAGGATGCCCTCTAGTGTCTAGACGGATAATCTAGGATTCAGGAACCATTCTGGTCCTGAGCAACTCCAACCCCAGCTGCCTGGGAAGAAAGGGGCCAGGGAGGGGCCCAAGACCCACACAGAAGGCCTGAGAGCCAGAGGCCGCAGATCCAACAATCTCCCCAGAGGGTTCCAAGGCCTAGAGAATTTCTAGGCAGGAAGATCTCAGCCTCTTCCATGGCTGTTTCTCCCATGCCTGACCATGGAAGGCTGTGCCACATCTACTCTTCCTAATGCACATTAAACTTTTTGGTCCCAGAGTTTATGGGGATGAAAAACAGTCAACTACCCATGCTAGATGTGTCTAGCCTTCGCACCCAAACAAAATGGCTTGGGCCACCTCCCTGCACCTTGGTCCATGGGGGGTATCAGCCATGGGAGCAAAAGCTCTAGCTAGAAGAGTTGAGTCAACTCCCACTGAGACCCCCAGAACAGGTGGAGGGGGGCGGTGAAAGGAGACTGTTCCTTCCCAAAAAGCAACAGGGCAGTGGGTCAAATGACAAGACTACCAAGGAGCTATATCAACTGCCATCAGTGCCACACTAGGCTGGACAAGGCATTAATATTACCTCATTGAAGGCAATCTACACAATTTCCCTCTTACCATCCCCTTCAGAGAGGTAATAACTGACTAATCTAAGTCATATGGCTAATCATTGGCAGAGGTGTCCTAGTCCAGTGCTCTCTCTGCTATACCATGATGGCCTCAGAAAGTTTAGCCCATGCTCCAGGATAGCCAGATGGACACTCAAAATCTGTGGTTTCATCCTTTTTCCCCATCTCTAGCTGGACAGAAGACAACTTGTGGCCAGGGTCTGGAGGGGCCCTGGGAGCGCCCACCCCCTCTGGATGAGCCCCAGAGAGATGGGAGTTCTGAGGACCAACTAGAAGACCCCGAACTAAGTGGTGAGGCTTAGGAGTGGTGTACGGGATCTCATGGTGGGGCTGGGATCTCGGTTAGGCATGTCTACGCCCTGAGTCCCTCTGCTTGCCTTGCAGAGCTTGGGGAGGAGCCACTGCGCCCTGTCCACCCTGAGCCTGGCACATAGGCACCCAGCTCCGTATCTCCCAGAAGGAAGTGGAGGGGGCATCACTGTTCCCCAGAAACCCACTTTGTCTTCACCCTATTTTCTGCCCTTCCCCTCACTTGCTAGGGCTGCGGCTTCTGACTTCTAGAAGACTAAAGCTGGTCTGTGTTTGCTTGTTTGCCCACCTTTGGCTGACGCCCAGAGTTCCTGGGTACTTGCTGCCTGATGCCTACCCCTGCTAGTCATTCCCCTGTTCATTCAGTGGGAGGCGGGATGTGAGAGAGCTTGCATTGGAAAATCTAGTAAACAAGGGACAAAGGTTCACCCTTCACCTCTCTTTCTACTCCCTAGACCTTCTCCCTTGGGCACAGGAAAACCACAGGGCAGGACCCTAAGATCTGGGGAAAATGGGTACAGGAGAATCTGTAGGTACCCTAGATCCTTCTCCACCCTCTCTCCTCCTATGGGGGATACCAAGTCACCACCCTTCTCATTGGCTTTCACCAGGGCTGAGGAGGATTCAAGCATCCTTCTCCATAGCCTCAACATTTTGGAAATCTTCCCTTATCACCCCTGCTCCCATACTGGGTGCCTGGAAGATGGACTGGCAGAGGCTGCTTTGTTGCATTTTTTTTGTGCTTTGATGCCAGG